GTGCTGCAGGAGCTGGCACCTTCTCATACTTTTAGACGATTCTTGATCTGGATTCGTGGGGTTTGCAATTAATTGCTATGAGTAACACACATCTCAACTTTGCTCCCCGGTCTGCAGCAGCGTGCAAGTTACTGAACCTCCCTCCACACGGGGAAATGGAAATTGAGCCCAGTAACTGTAATTTGCTGCATGTCTATATTTTACGATGCTTGGTTGGAAGTTGATAATGTAAGAGCAAATCCCACTTCATTTAGCCCAGGCTGTGCAATAAGCTGTAGGCAGCTGGGAGCTGTTTAAAGAGAGTGTGGGAGAGAAAAGCAGTGGCTTCTTGGGAAAAGATGGAGTGGCTTGTCAGTGGACAGCCATTAACATTGTGGCTGCTGAACCCCATCTGTGTCCGTCGAGTACTAGGCTAAGCCCATGCTGTTAAGTACAGCAAATTCTGAGTTTGTGATATTTGAGGGCTCTTGGGTTCTGCACCCCTTGTGCTCAGGTGGTCTCAAGAGATGCCCTCCACTACCAGTACCCAGGACTGTGCCTCTGAGCTTGATAGGAAAGAAGGTTCCTGACATTCTCACTTTGAATCTCCTTACTTACCCTACAGCAGTGCTCTTAAGAATCCTTAACCTTTCCTTAACCAGCGAAATTGAAGAACAGGCTTAAAAAGCAGAGGCACTGGATGCTTTTTCCATTCACTTGTCAGGATGGGCTTAGTGTTCTGCCTGTGCATTCTGAAATAGGTCAGCATGGACACCTGAGGAGGTGGAGGGAGTGCTTGTAGGGGACTCCAGAAAGGATGTGTGGTGTTGTGGTTAGTAAGTACTAATGTGTCTGTAATTAGCCACTGACATGTGCTTTTGTCGCTGTGCTAGTACTGCTTTGTTAGAACAGTGGCACTAAATAAGCTATGAATATTAAGTGTCGGTAGTTGTACAAAACTAAAGGCTGCTCTGTTGTCAGTAATTAGAAGCTCTGTTTTCATTATGGCTGGGACTGTGCTGATGCCGTGAGGGAGGGATGTGTGGGATGGATGGTGTGAGAGATGGCATTGTAGGACCAGAACTGTCAGCAGTCAAGTGGAGCTGGTGATTTCACACCACGGGAAGAAGGGGATGATCCTAGCTGGTTTTGTACAGTGTGAAGTGCTGTTCGTTTGCAAAGCTCCACAGGACAACTATTACTGATTCTAGTAGGTTTGTGGTGAATGATTAGATTGCTGCTGCTGGCAGGCTTTCTGAATTCTTCATTAAAGCCTCTCCATTGCCTGTAATGACAGTTTCTGCTCAAAAACTCGGAGCTGGGGGAGGAGGAAGGTTTTTCCCTAATGACATGTCTCCTTCCAGCAAATGCTGAACTAAATCTGGACTGAAGCTAGAATTAACATGTTTGTTTCCATGGAAATCTCTTAGACTTGGAAGTTGCCTTAAGGACTATAGCCTTTGTAAGCTGAATGAATGCACTGGTCTTTTTCTAAGGCAACCCTTAGGCAGAATATCTCTGTGTGCCTCCCATTGCTAGGGCAGTTGTCTCTCTAGTGCACTTTGTGGTCAGGATACAGTGTTTTCCCTCCTCTCCCCTGCCAAACTAATGTTGCTCTCCTCTCTGCCCACAGTGTCTGCCATTACAGCCGCCTCTTTTGGGAGTGGGGGGAAGGTGTCAAAGTGCACGACTCTCAGAAAAGGCAAGATCCAGAGAAGCTATCCAAGGAGGATGTCTTGTCTTTCATCCAAGCACACTTCCCCTAACTCTGCTCCCTTTAGGGGTGCAGGGGGGGCTGAGCCCAGCTTTGATTCTTCAGGAACCAATGAGACTGAGGACGTTCCACAACTTCTATCCTGGTCTTCTCCAGAGCTCATTTCCTGGAGGTGATCAAGCCAGCAGGTTGTATGCAGAAGGCACAGAACAAGGCTCTACCCTGGCAGTGTGTATGAGTATGGCCCAGGTAGCACCTGCTGCTGGAGTACCCATGGTGACTCCTGGAACCATGGCCAAACGCCCTTTTGTCCTGACCTACTGCATGCATGAGGCCAAGAGGCTGGCAGTTTTGTTTGCTCCTGTTCAAACATTCAGTGAGTGAGGTTTGTGGAGCGCCCTGTACGTGCCAGAACTCTCCAGCCTCATGCTTCCCTGGCAGTGTGGGAAGGAGCAGAGATGTCTTGGTGGGCAGAGCTGGGCAGCAGCACACTGAAGGGGCCCTGCATCGTTCCTGGCAGCTATCTGTCTCCTTGGCCTGCACTACCCAGTGGAGCATGTTCACTCATTGGTGAATGCTGGGTTTGGGATGCAAGTATGTATTCTTGCTGGTGTCTCCAACATTTCTGCTTACCAAGGCACTTGGCTGCCCACTGGCAATTCCTATGTGATGGTATCCTGTTGGACAAAGGCCAGTGCAGGTGATGAGTGGAGTTCCTGGCACAGATTTGATGTGCTCTGTGCCAAGGCCTTCTCAGATCTCTAGAAGCTGCTGTGACAAGGATTTCCCCTCTCCAGATGAGTGACTGATCCTGAGCCAGCAGCCTGGGGTTAATTTGTGAACATGTCTATGCCTCATACTTCTAAGACCAAGGTGCTTTAGTTCTTGGTACCCTACACTATTACCCACATCTTCAGGGAATGCAATGGATGCAGGAGGAAGACGAAGGTTGCGATGCTGAAGGTCTTTAGAGGGAGTGATGGCAATGTCTGACTTAGCTAAAAAAAACCCGCAGGGCTTCCGTGAAAAGAGATCTTGACTTCAACCATGTTGGTCAATCAGAAGAAATCCTGTCCCCTGACTTTGCCCACTGAAGGGTTACCTGACTTTCCTTTTTAAATGTCAAAGCGGGCTTTGAAACTCTTCATGTCTCATTCAGCCCTGGAATGGCATCTGGGGTGAAGGCACAGAGCTGTGAAACTGTCAGCATGGTATTTGTGTGTCAGCAGTGTTCCATGTGCCCTTTGGAGCTGGGTTCAAAGTTGTCTTCTGCTGCATGTTTTACCTTCACTTCTGGCTTCCATGGCACTGTTTCCAAGTCTTCCACATAAATCAGGAGATAACACAGTCGACTGCTTTTGGCCAAGCAGCAAAATTGCCCTCCCTACCCCCTTTTGGTTGCTTTTTTTGTTCTTGGCTTGTTTTTAAACACAGATTGACAGTAGGGAGGAAACTGATTTAGGGGTTGAACTGTGCCTTAAAGAAAGCTATAGTTCTAGAATCTATAGCACTTGTTTAGGTTCTTGTTTCTTTCTCTCCACACCCGTATGTATGATTTGAACAAGCTTTATGTATCAAGACATGGAAGTTTTCATTGTAGGTCCATGGGTGCCCTGCACCCCACCCAGAGAAGCCAGCACAAGGATGGTATGTTGAAGTCCTACCTCCACCCTCTAATGCTCAGCATCATGTGTTAGAGGTTTTGTGCTCATTCGCAGCATGCAGTTCCTACTTCCTTTGTTGTTATCCTACAAGTAGGCTGTGCTATCTGAGCTTAGAGCACTTCCATGTCTTCCCAAGCAAACTGTCTTCATATAACCATGTATTAATTCTCTGCTGTTTAGTATAAATGAAATTAACAGCTGCAACACGAGAGAAAATGATCTGCAGGTTTGATCACTGCAGTACTGTGCCCCTGGCTGAAGGAGCAGCACAGAAGCTGGCATAGCCTGTAAGTCAATGGAAGCTGGAGGAGGTAAGCTTACAAGTAAGGTGGCCCTGAATATTGTGCAGCAGAGCTGTTCTGTTTCTTCTCAAGCTCTGGCCAAAGTGAAATGGCTCAGAGCTCTTTTCATAGTGGTGATTACTAGTGCCCAGACACAGGTCTACCAGAGCAGCTGAGGGACTGCATGCTGTTAATGCAGCTCCTGAGTGTTGGTAAAACATGTATGAAAGAAATGGTGGGCCTTACCCCCAAAGAACAAGAAGTTTGTTACAGGCAGGTTGTTTTTGGCTAAGGCAAGGCAATTCCATGAGGGATGCAGAAGAATCTGTCCCAGAGGAGTAAGGAACTTCCAGCTGTGGTTTTTAGGCCTGTGTGCAGTTGGCTTTTTAAACCAACCAGTAATTTGAGTTTGGACACTTCCAACTGCCTTGAGGCTGTTCCAATACCAGAAAAGCATGCTGCTCCTATTGCCAGGCTCCTTTCCCAGGTGTTGTGTCCTCCACTCAGGGCTTTGGTCTCCTGTGGGCTGGCAGCCAGGAGGGTGACTAGGAAGCACACCAGGGTGAGTGTAGGCCTCTGAGGGTACCTAAATCCCTATTAGCCTGCAGGCCAGCTTTTATGAACAAATACTTCCTGTATACGGAGTTGCCTCCAGCCCCTCATTCAAATTTGCTTCTTAGTTTTATTTTTGAAGCACTGAACCATGATTCTGAATCCCCCTTCAAGAAGGCAAGCATAAGCCACTATGCTACTTGCTTCCCTGCTGCAGGGTAGATATCGAGGGATTATGCTGGGAAGAGGAGGTGAGGAAGGTCTTGCTGAAGAGAATGTTGATGTACATTAATTGCACAATGTATTGTCATTAGGCTGTGTATCATTTTGTGTTGACTCCTGCTTTCATTGTCTCTGTTGCCAATACAGCCCTTTTAGTTTACAACAGTGCTTGTCCACTTTGCTTCCCACAGAATTCTGTCTGGCAGTGTGTTAGTGTGGAGACAGAAATGCCTTGCACTGTTGAATTTTCAAGGCAGTGCCCTTTTAATGGCTTTCCTGACATGTCAGGCACACTGAGGGCTACCTAATGTATCTTGCTTCACCAGAGAGTGGACTACAGGTGTCAGTTCCCAGCACTCCTATGCAGCATATGAGGCTGCTTTTCCACTCAATGCAAACACTTGAGTAGATTCCATGCCACAACAGACCAATAACACACTGCTGAAATCTTGCTGACCAGGTATGTTAAACGCCTAATCCCTTCTAGGTTTACTATGGTGCAGTGTGTGTCAGCAGGGAGAATGCAGGATAAGAAGAAAGCAATGACTGAGAGATGTTACAAAACAGGAAAAAAAGGAAACCAGGAAGTTACAAGGTTAAATTATTTTATTTAAAGCCCTTGCAGAGGTACTTCCATCCTTGGGACTTGATAGTTCAATTTCAAGTGTTGATTCTCAAAGGCACAGAATGGCTACCAAGCCTTGATGCACTGGAGAGGTAGGCAGATCTCAAAGCCCAAGTACCCACATCTCAAGCTGGATGTTGCCTGCTTACAGAGAGATACCTACCTCCCATCTCGTTTTGTGAAGGTAGGATTCCTCTGGTCCTTCAAGTCAGTGTGCAGGAGGTACCATACTTATTTAGTTCACCTCTGGGAACACCTGGAATCTTTTGGTCACAATACCAAAGTTACCCTTTGAGAGTTTAGTGTCCCTTCAGCTTATGGCTGAGTCGCAGGAACAAAGGTGGCATGTATGCCAGCAGGGCTGGGCAGAGAGCACTTGTCTGAAGCCACAGAGGTCCGCTTCAAAATAGAGAATGTATTGCCTTCCTGCATCAGGCTGGATGGTCTGTGCTGCATTTGGAGTAAGAAAGCATCACTTTCAGCTCTGCTTGACCATGTTTCTAGCCACAAGTGTGCTTGATTTCTCGTTTGTCTCCTGCACCCCACAGTTCTCAGAGAAAGATTCCCTGCAATGAGGCTTGGAGAGGATGAGCAATAACAGCAATCTGAAATGCTGATCCTTACCCTTGGCAGAGGCACAGTGGTGAGAGGAGGAAGAGTTCCTTGCATAAGCGTCATTTGGTCAGCAGGGAGAATTCTTGAGTGCAATCACACTGTCCAACAGGCATAAATAAGAGCAATCAGCAGTCCCACAGCCACAGCAAGGGCAGCATTCTTGCGGTTCTCCTTATGAAGCGCACTCAGTTCTTTCTCTGGGAAAGAAATAAAAGCCTTGCCTGTGAGTGTTCTCTGTTTTGCACCTGCATCTCCTTTCAAAAAGGTCTTAACAGCACAATGCTACCTTGGCCATGGGCAACTCTTTTGGGATCAGTATGCAAAGCTGCCAATTAAAAGATGTGCTGAACAGGAAGTGAACTAGCAGGAACCCTTTCATTTGCTCTTACCCTGTCAACCTCAGTAGCTGTACTTGGGAATACTTCAGTGCCAGACCAGCTCCTGTTTGCAAATGATCTTGTTCTAGGAGCCTACTTAGGACAGAATGGGTCATCAGAATAATTGCCTGATCTCTTAAAAGAATGTGGAAGGCAAATAGAGAGCTATTTCTACGATCTTTTAGATGTAGCAGTCTGGTAAATACACTGTAGCCACTGCTGAATGTTGCCGAATCTGGGTTTCCTCTTGTCCTGCAGCTGCTGAACAGGTCTGAGCCTGGACCCTTAACTCTGTTGGGGCCTGCAGCTTTCCCTGGCCCTGGTTTACAAAAGGAGAAACACAGTTGCAAAGATGAAGGAAGTGGCTACCAAAAGTAGGAGTTCCACTGATCTCCCCTTGTGTTCCATTTGCTTTCCCAAAAATCAGAATCTGATTCTTGCTAGCTCTGTTCCACAAGACTTTGCTTGGTGGTACAGGCAAGAAGTGAGCTCTATAGCATTACACACTGCATGGCCAAACAAATGTAACCATTGTGCAAGGCAAGGTTGGATGCAGACTCCAGACTGCTTTTGCTGCTGCAGGAGCTACATGGGTTACTGTCTATACTTTCCGCTAGCAGACTCCAGTGGGAATACCCTGGTGCTGCAGGTTGCCACACTGATGCCAGCCTCAAAAGAGGCTTTTAGCTGTCCTTTCTGTCCCTGTTCTTCTCACAGGACAAGCCTTCTCATGCAACCACAGCGCAAACTGCTTGAATCTGTAAGGTCACAGAGGGGGTGGGAAGGGTAAGCAGTCATATAACCCCAGGCAGCTTAAACAGAAGGAGCAATGCTGTTGTCAGCAATTGCTGTTTGTGGCCTAATGTGTGTCAGCTGGAATAAGCAGAGATTTAATCAGAGGCCACAGCAGTGATCTAAGCAGTGTGCACATGCAGTGTCTGTTCTGTTCCAAGAGGAGTAGCCATCGCCATTAGGTGAGGCTGTTGCTGCTGCCTGAACAGCCTGCCACATTGCTCTGTTCATGTGCCAGTGGTGATGGCTGACTGCTGGTAAAAGGGTGGCAGGGATGTGCAGGGTCTTATGCTCTTTCTAGTGGTAGGTCCTTAGGGAACAGCTTTGAATCTGTTTAAAATAACTTAGTCATAGAATCATAGAATAGTTATGGTTGGAAAGGACCGTAAGATCATCAAGTTCCAACACCCCTGCCATGGGCAGGGGCACCACACACTAAACCATGCCACCCAAGGCTCTGTCCAGCTTGGCCTTGAACACTGCCAGGGATGGATCTTCTGGAAACAGTCATTTAACAGGAGTTAAAATTACAAATTTGATGACCATGCCCCAGTTTTCAACTTTCCAAACCTAAAAGGATACTTGTGCTTCCTTCCTCTGTGTGAGCTATGGTGCTTGCACTGCTGCAGAGTACTGTCAAGCAGTCAGCACCCTGAAGACACTCAAAGCAGCATCCCTAGTGGAATGGAAATGCTGTCAAACCTGCGGTAGCTCTGAGCGACTCTCATTTCAACTCTAAAGCAGCACTTGCAGCAAGGACAGACCCTGACTCCCTGGAATTGGAGGCAGCACCTCGGTGTGAATCCCTACGCTTGTGTACTGAATGGCCCCAGAAACTGATGCAGTGAGAACTTTCCCCAGGGAGGGCAGACTTTGCTACACTCCAGAAAGCACTTGCCAGCTTGCTTAGCAGCCCTCGATTAAAAAGCAGGGGAAAAGAGAGAGGATGTTAAAAGCCACTCACGTCAGTCTAAAGACTCCTAACTTGGGGTAAGTGAAAGGGACATCTTTCCCCCCTCGTTAGTTGATGCTGGGGTATTTTTTCCTCTCTGATAGCACAGCTCAAACAGGAGGATCCAGACTCATAATATGCTGACTAAATTTCCCTCAGTCTCTCTTTGGTTGAACCTGAATTCAAAGGCAGAAGTCAGAGGTGGAAGGAGCTGGAAGATGAAGCTAAGCTGCAGCACTGATCCCATCCAGCCCAGAGGGACCATTTTTAATGAAGCTCTTACCATAGTTGTCAGCTTTGGTCATTAGTAAGTTTCTCTCTCTCTCCAGTGACTTTCTGTAATGAGAAGATAAGTTCATTACCTGCAAGGCAAACACAGTCCATTTCTTTGCTTATATGATGGAAGAGAGACTATTCCACTGCCAGGGTTATTTGCTCACAGAATGAGCCCCTCACCCTTCACTGTGGAGGGGTTACAGTTTAGAACCCCCCCAGCTGTGCAAGAGATACAAGTTTTAGATTATTTTCTCCTTCCCACAAACTGCTTCCTATCTCTTGTTTCAGGATGGTGTCAGTGTATGCAAGCAGGCTTAGAGAGGGGGCTCTGTGTATGTCATACAGGCCCCTATTCTGTTCCCCCAGGTGGGTCAAAGTTCTGCCACAGCTATGGGATGGGGCAGGGTCCCTGCATGCTCTTGGCAGGATCCTGCCCTTCCAACACATCTGGAATACCAGTTCTCACTAATTTAAGCTGGTGTCCCTTTGTCAGAGGTATCCTATTTACACAAACTGGTCAACTCAAGGCAACAAGCTGAATCCAAGCCCAGTGACAACCAGTTAAACAACCTGTTACTAAACAGAACACTCCAGATAATAACAGTAAAGACTAAGGGCAACAGAGCCCTTGTCTTAAGCTGCACAAGATGATTAATTAATATACAGTTTAAATACAACAACAAACTGCCTGAAAGCAGCAGCATTTCCACTACAGTGGTGAGGACACAGTCAGTCAGACTCTGTACATGTAAATAAACATGCTCTAACAAACTATCTCCTGCTTCAGAGCAGAGAGAGAAAGCGGTTAAGTGTAACCGAGTTTGTTGTTCCCCCTGGGGCACAGCAAGAACCTGTAAGAGGAAAGAGACCCAAATCTATATGTACAGCTAGTTAAGTAAGGGATGGCAAGAAAGCAAGCTACGCTGGAGCAGCAGGAGAGGAAAGGGCTCTTCAAGGCAACCGAAGAAAGGCAGCATGGAGTGCAGCCAGGAAGAAGTGAGAAAGAAGATTTACCAACATGACTGAGCTGCTACTTAACAAGTTGCCTTGTGAAGAGAGTCAAAGGAAGAAGCTTTGGAAATGAGACGTGAAGAAACCATGACAACTGAACTTCAAAATGGGAAAGCAGAGCTCTCCTTTGTGTGCTACTTAATCAATTTTATCATGGTACCTTTCTCCAGGGTTTTTTTTAATGGTCTGCATTAGGGCAACAGAATTTCTGATTTCATCTCCATACAAGGTGCAAAATTCACAAAGGGCACCAGGGATCCCTACTGCTAATTTTTTGCTCTAGGCCCTGTATTTCAGAGAGAAATCATACAGATATCTTCTGTCCTGTCAAGTTACTACAACTGTAGGTTTGGTTGCTGGCCACCTAAGAACCAGATAAAGAATGCACACTGTAAGAATTTAGGCCTAAGAAAAAACTATTGAGATCAGGAGCTAGAAACGAGAGCCAGGGCCCTGCACAAATATGGATGGGGATATAAAACCCCAATAAAGGGTGGTGCGGTGAGAAACAGAGTAGAAAGGAGGAACAAAGAAGTTAAGCTGAGGCTGGTAAGTATTAGGGTGTGGAGATGACACCACTGCTGGGATCATTTCTAGCTGAGTTCTATAGGACAGTACTGTAAAGCAGACACCAGGACCAACAGGACAGCTCCCTGGGCCTACAATTGAGCTTCTCAGATTTTTTTTTGCTAGGAACAGAGCAGCAGAATGGTGGTGACTGGAAGAATGTCCTCGAGCAGAGAGATCTGAGGTTCAGCTGGGAGATTTAGGATCTCTTGCTTCACGGTTTAGAGAAAACAGTTCTGCCTCTGTCTGCTACAAATGCAGGTCAAGTTCCCACTTGAGTGGCAGCTCTAGAAGCCTTCAGTTGCCTTTTCTATGTCAGTGACAGATTTCAGAGGAATTGTCCCTCTTCCCTTTCCCAAGGAAAGATGGTGTGTGTCAATGCATCCATACATCCCGACACATTTGCAACACAGGCCCAGATAGAGCAATTTCCCTCAGTCTGGTTTGGCCCTCAGTATTAGTTGCCACCTCCCCAACTAAATTTAGGCAGCTTTGGCCAGGCTTGAGTAGCAGCATGCAGTGAACGTTTGTCAGACAATCAGAGCTGTTTCCTAGCAGGCCAGGAGCCAGCTCTGCAAATGAACTGGCACATTTTGGGTGCTGCTTAGCTGATTGTGGTGCAGGTTGGAGTCAGGCTGTTGGTAAGATAAAGCTCTCTCCATAACTCACTAAACTTCTCACCATGGCAAGTTCCCCAAGTAAGCTACAGGTTGAGGCAAGAGGGTCTTGTCATGGGGAACCACATATTCCCACCCCTTCAAGAGCCCATGTTCAATACTACAGCAGGTGAAGTGCACAGCCAGTGCTGTGGAAGGAGACCGTCACCAATACCTTCCTTCAGGGCTGAGCTTCTCTCTGCGCAGTTTAAGATCCACCTCTTCCACGCTCTGTCTGCAGCGTGCCAGCTTCTCCTCCAGCCCATCGATCTGTAAGACACCACAACAGTCCCCGTCATCTCCTCTCCCAGCTAACACAGATCATGCCCACTCAGATGCGAAGGATGGCAGCTCAGCCACTCCACCTCCTTCCTCCCCAAATCAAGGGAGGAACTGCCTCAGCCATGTGTAAGGATCACAGCACACAAAGCACACTGCCTCTCAGATCAGCCTTTATTACACTCGAGGCTACTGTGACATTGTAATCCCAGCCAGCAAAGCCATCTCTAACGCTCCCACTTGTGTGGCCAGCAGCTGCCCAGCACCTTCTTCTGAGGTCTAATCCTGTTCCAACCTGTTCTAGTTTCTTTACATCTGGCTGCACAAGGAAAGATGGGATGTAAAGCATCTTTATGGAATTAAAAGAGGATAAAATGAGAGGAACTGGCCTTGGCCAAAGCCTGAGGCTCAAGGTTTTTATTTAGTGCTGTGAATGGATACAGAAATTCACAGGACATGACTACAAAACAACCTCAGCTGTCCGTCTGGGTGAAGAGGGGACAAAGAGGAAACACTGACACCTACCAATCGTACAACAGCAACAGCAGTCTGCACAGCATGCTCAAGCATTCCCCACCAGCATATCTGACCTGCACCAACTTTGGCAGCAACATGTTCCCATGCAGAAAAACACTGGTCATCTCCTTGTGTCTCCTCGTTAGGTTTCCCAACAGCCATCCTGCCCCTGTGTCTTCCTGTGGAGGGAAGTAACTGTGGATAATGAGAAGATTGATCCACCTGTGTGCAAATGGATTGCCCAGGAAGGAATCCTACTGTGGACAACAGTTCTCCAAGGAATCATTCCTCTCTTCTGCCTGGCAACCAGAGAGTAGACATCTTTAGGAAAACTTTTGTCTTTCAGGCTTGCTTCCAGCAGAGGAACAGTGGGATTGGTCAGATAATATGAACACAACATCCCAGCCTGAAAGAAAATGGCCTCAGTGCCCTGAGGTGGCATGACCTCTCTTTTTAGCTACCTGGCACAACACTCCTGCTGTACCTGGTTCTCGAAGCAAGGCCAAGGCCAAATGGTGGCTGGCAGCATGGGCTCTCTGTGGTGGGGAGCCATCACTCACCAGAAGCTAAGAGGCAGCACGGTCCTGGGTAAAGTACTGAGGTGAATGAAACACCAGCTACCTGGACATCAACCTCGGAGGTGACCCAGGGCACACACACTCCCACAAACAGTGATATGGGAGATAAAATCAAAGATAGTGATCCCTAATTATTGCTGCTTTGGGGATGAAATCTCTCTTGAGCTCATTAGTAATCTCACACCTTCTGCTCAGGAAAGGCAGGCAAGTGTTATTAATAAGCAGGATGGGAGAAGAGGCTTGATGTAAAGGGGAGAGAATAAAGCACTGTGAAGAAGAGTTTATCCAGTCAGCTGAAGTCTCATTGTAAGGAGCACAGTATTGCTGGGGAGGGGCCACATGTAACAAGGCCCAAATTCATCTTTGCATCTTACCAGACAGAAATTTCAGAGTCCTTTGTTATCAGGCAACTCTGCCAGGGCTGTTGAAATGCTATCAGCACAGCTTCCCCTGAGCTCAAAGGAAGCACCAAGGCACATCACCTTATCCCAGAGCACAGAGAATTGTGGTTTGATTTGCTTGGATGGAGACACGGATAGTTTTGAAGCATGTTAGCTGAAAATGCATTCGGTCAAGCAGATAGTTGTTCTCCTCCACATCCAGATGTGCCAGTTAAGAATGTTAATTCCAGCTGCTCATCACTGTCTCTCATCCACTACAGCTCAGTGAGCAAGATGCATTGCCCCAGTCTGCTTCAGGGCCAGCCTAGGCCTTCACCCAAGCTAGCTCTAACCATGCTTATCAGAAAGTTGATTTAATGGCAGAGTGCAGTGGAGTGGAGGTGGGGTGTCTGTCCACTACAGTTTAAGAATAACCATCTCCCTTGCTAGTTTCTACCATGTGCAAATGACTGTGTCTCTGCTCCCTTATCTGCTGGAAACCCTCACATACACAGGAGGAGGTAATTCAGCATGTGTTACCTGGCTGCTCCTTAGCCAGCAAACTTACCACAATGCACCATGCCTTCTCTGCAAACATGTTTTAAAATCATGTTAAATAATACAATTTCATGAGAGCTTTGGCTGCTGCCAATGCCACCACTAAATTACCTGTGTCACAGCACATCCTACCCTCTCCTCCAGAACCGCTGCTCCTTCTCAGTTTGCAGTTGCTCCCACTAGTACATTCTCTGCCCATCATTTTGTAGACATAACAAGAGGATATTCCACCTACTTTCTGCTGACTAAAAATCTCCAGATTCCACATAATACTTTAAAACTTTCCACTGGTTTTACAGCTCTTAAATAAAACCCAAAGTTTGGGTTCCCTGATGGAGAGCAATAATCTTGTTAATAAACCACATGCCCCAGAACTGCACCATCAGCTTTGCTGAGCTGTGGGCACAAGAGACAGAAAATAATAATATAAATAAAGCACAGCTGAAGGAACAAGTACTTATTTCCTCCAGAATCTAATTTCTTTCTTCAGGCTAGTCTGGGGCATTACATAGGGCTTGTAAGGAAGGCCAAGACTGAGGAGCTTCAGATGTTACCCACTCACTGTGCCTCAGTTTCCCTCCTTATAAACTCGGATGATACTATCTGCCTTCTGGAGGTGGTTCATTTACAAAACGAGCCTCAGATACTGACCAGCAACAGGCAGAGCCCTATCTTGGTATGTCAGTGCCACTGCCTCACTTGGGATTTGGGATGTGTTCCTGCAAGCTAGGAGTCTTTTAGCAGCTCAGCCATGTAAGACACTCTTCACTGTAGGGCAAAGGAAACAGAAAATAAGCACAGGCAGGAATCAGAGTAATGCCTGGGAGTTACTGATTACTCCCTGGGCTGCTGAGCAAACTCCCAGGAGGACCATAGCCTGAAAAGCTGTAGCACAAGAAAATCTGCAGAGCTTTGGCATAATGCCCTGCAGCAACTCTCCAGGAGAGCAATCCTAGAAGCAGGTACATACCTGAGCTCATTGTGGATGGAAAGCTTTTCCCTCCTACTAACTAATACATCAGAAGGTTAGTTGGGATATGTACCTAAGCCTACTGGAAACCTGCATGAAAACAAGTGCCAAGCTCACTTAGCTGTACTATCACTGCACTTCACACTGGCTTAACTTTTTAGTGGCAATCTCAGCACAGTGGCTTTCAAACTGCAAATCTGAACCCTTGCTCCTTCTAGCTCTCTTTTTCATGAAGAGGATCCTCTGGAACAGAGTTGAAGGGCAGCATGCAGAAAGCTCACATAACAACCCCTCAGCTTCACACGGCCTGTAGCAGGGACACAGGACTTCACTCTCAGCAACATCTTCAAGTAGTGTCAGTTAAAGGGGCAAATCAAATGGGCGCATCCAAGCAACAATGCGGGGCATGCAGAACTGCCCTTCTGCTGCTCAAGAGCCACTCCAGCAAGTCAAGTCCCAGTGGCTTTGGATGCATACAGGGGTCTAAGACCAGATGCCTTCCCCGCTTCACAAGGTATGACAAGGCCTTGAGCCATTTTTGCTGAATTCTGGCAATACCCGCTTGCAATCTAGAGACCTTTTTAAACTGGAGAGACCTGAAGTGGATTCCAATCCAAACTGTCTTACACGCTTATTACAAATATCATTTATTGGGCTCATCTTGGGCAGGGAGCCCGAAATGGCTCACATTAAAGGCAGAGACAGAGAAGAGAAAAAGCAGCAGCTTTGCTTACAGAGTTGAGCTGGATCCCTTTTAATACATTCTATAATGAATTAATAAAAGCTTTCTTTCCAGCAGAAAGGCTAAAAGCACTTTTCAAGAACTGGCATCCACCCTCCACTTTTATGAGTTCCTTAATTAAGATCCTGGCAAAGAGCCATATCACACATATGTCGACATCCAGCAGCATTAGGTAACGAGGTTTTCATCTTCTGACCCTCATAAAACAGATCAAAGCCAACTGAAGAGGTGGGGGCAAATAAAAAAAAACAAACCCTTCCCTGAGAAGCCTTCTCATGCCTTGTCACCTGCCAGCACACTTGAGCCATTCTTTTCACAGAAGAATTAATGGCTCCTGCATCCACAAATTCAGCTGGATAATTAAAATCAGTCCAGCAGAGTAGAGTTTTATTTGAATTCAAATGCTAACTTGCAGGTCATGGACACACTTCCCTTTTCACCACACTCTTGGAATCATTTTGCATGCTGGCAAACCATTTTGCAGACGCTGTGCCCATAGCATGCTTGGAAATATTTACCAGGCAAGCCACTACACACCAGAAAAAGTCTAAGATAAATCCTACAGATCAACCCTCTGTGTTAGTAAAGGAGAAAGGGCTGGATCCTCCTGTCTGCAGGCACTGCCTAAGCACAGGGAGTTCTCTTTGCAGTTTCTAGCATCACTTTTTTGCTTCCATGATTTTTTTTCAGTTGTTGTCTGAGGCACAACCGTATTTTTAAGGGCTACAACATCCTCTGGCCATGGAACAGCCACAGGTTGTGGGAGGAAACATCCTCTCCTGTTTGTTCTGTGCTTGTCAGCTGCTTGTTTCAGGTGGTAAGCCTAACTTTGTATTGTCAGTGAACGGCCATTCTTTGGTTAAAACTACAAATAGCATGCAGAGGATATGGACCTAGATAGTCTAGCCTTGCAGTCATGTTGTCAAGCTTAAAAGGGCCTGGTATGCTCAGTTGTTTCTTGCATAGAAGTTTTCCAGACTTTTGATCATCCTTGCCACTCTCTTAAACTCATTCCATTTTCCCTATTTTGCTACATAACAGACCAGTCCTCCCAGTTTCACTTTCCTGACAAGTCTTGTCATGAAAGTTCTGTGCAGCTCAGCACTGTCTATAGATAGAGCTGCCTGTCAAAAGGCTACAGAGCTATATAAAAGGAAAAGTGGCAAGAGTTTAAACCATCACAACATTAGGGAGACACATTTATATCAATTTAAAGCAGGACATATCAATTACACCTGCAATTTGTAAGTGCAAGCTAATCTGATATGTGTGCATATAGAAAATTGCATCCATTTAGCATCATGACTTCAGTTAAACAAGCATGACTCTGCCTAGATTAGGCCTTTCATAGCTACCCATGCATCATGTCATATTAGGACTCATTTGGAAAATTTTCTTTACAATCATAACAGCTCAGAAAGTAATACTGAACCAAATGTTTAAATTGCAAAATCAGTATCTTGGTTGTCACATATTCTGACACCTGAAAAACAGCCCTCACTTCCTCTGTCTTAAAGGAATTATATTTTCTTCCTCACTAACTTTGATTCAGTACCTTTCTCATCACTGCAAGGGGGAAGGATTTTATCTTTCAGTTGTATCTTTGCATTGAGAGGTTAAATTTTCACCCATAACACTCCAAAGAACAGTTCTACATCCCTTTCAAAAACAACATGTTCTATCATGACAACTTTTGAAAAGTAAAAACCAAAAAAAAAATCTAAAGCTACAAGTCTCAAAACACTTTGCAAGAATATTCTGTAGCAGCTAAAATCAGTCCCTTTTCACTCTGTGACCAGCATGTCCCTGACAGGCTCACCCTTTTTGCCACCTCTTTTTCTGTAAGGTAGACTCTACCACCTCAACTCTCCTTGTCTGCCACATCTCAAAAAACCCAACCAAAAATCCATTGTTTCGACTCTCCCTGCTAGGCTCACTGAAAGGGAGCTTGGACAGTCAGCATAATCCCTTTGTGGACCCTCTTTGGTGCTTATATTTGGGTTAGAGTGCCCAGAAATGTCTGCTTCTCCAACAAAAGCCTAACTAGATGAAAGAGACCAGAAAACTACTATAAACTGAACTCCTACGCATGATATAGAAGGACACTCACCTTTACATTACTGGCTGATGAAACATATATACGACAATCTCCAAGTCCTTTCTATCCTAGCTATCTTGGTCTGCTGCACATACACTCAACTTCAGGACAGAGAGAGGTGACCAGTGAGATTCACTGGAGAATCCACTGGGCCAGTGGATTCAAATGGCCCCTTTCAGCTATTTGTCAGAAAGTTCAACAGTTTGCTGAATCCAAAATTGCTGTCCCCAAAGTATCCAAACCCCACAGACTCAAACTATGGGCTTTCCATTTCCAAGTCAGTCTGGATAGCACTGTTCACTGCAGCAGCTGGAATGAAGCTTCAAAGAGACCTTAACTGACATGCCTCAGTTTGTGACGACAAATATAAAGTTTAAACACCAGCAGCCTTCCTGCCATTCAGGAGATTATGAAACACCCAACAATAAAAAGGCAGCTTTAGAACAAAGTCATGCCTTAAAAAAGTTTCTTTGCCTTCTCCTGCAGTGACTTACTGCAGCTCATGTGCTGGTTTATCACCGGGTGCCTCCAAACCGGCTGCCTGTGCCCAGCAGGGTGCTGACCTCCACCAGTACACACACAGGCCAGGCTGTACACATATTTGCTAGCTCACTGGGAGCAAGGGTACCAAACACCATCGTTCGGCCAAAGGCCTGCAGCAGAGGACGCGACAGTCAGCTCTCCGCTCACGGGAGGGCTCGGCTCAGCACAGCCTACCTCAACTCGGCCTCTTCTACCATCGCACATTAAAATGGCGGCCGGGCCCGACACCAGCGCAGGCTAGTCGGAGCGGTGCCCCTGAGCCCGCACTGCCCCAGCCTTCAACGATACCCTCCGCCCTCCACACAAACATTGCCTTCAGCGGTAACACCATTCCCACCTCGCCCCTGCCCAGCCCGGCCGCGCCGCGCCTTGCCAGCCCTCACCTCCCGAGCCACGCTCAGCCCCTCTCGCCTCCTGCCCATCGTACCGGGCCCGTGCCTGGCCGCGCATGCGCAGGCTGCCGCTTTGAGCCGCCGCCCGAGCGCGGCCACGTCTGCGGGGCTGCCGCCATCTTGGTGAGGGGTTGCGCTGTGGGGCGGGCTCCATCTTGGGGAGGGCGCTTCTGCCCGGCCCCGGCAGCGGGACAGCCCGCTGTCTGCTGTGGCCATGTGAGCCTGTTTTGTCGTGGTTAGCTAGCCGCGGCAGTCAGACATGCCCAGCTGCTTTGTGCCGGCGCTGTCCCCAGCCTGCTCTGCCTGCTCCAGCAGGATCGGCTGAGGGATGGTTGGAGAAGGACTGGCAGGCCGGAAAGCGGATGTGGGACTTCTCGGAGCTGTCTCATCTTGCTTCTCCACCCCTCAGAGACCCCTGCTCCCGCGGGGTGGGGGTCTCCTGTGTGCTGTATGGCCAGGCACCCCCCTTGCGCTTGTCAGAAGGCAAAGCCGGACTGGGAGAGGTTGCTCTCTTCTGTAAAGTAACAAGTGATAGGACAAGAGGTAATGGCCTCAAGCTGTGCCAGGGGATTTTTAGACTGAATATTATGAAAAATTTCTTCACAGCGAGGGTGATCAGGCATTGGAAGAGGCTGCCCAGGGAAGTGGTGGAATGGTTTAGTGGCGGACTTGGCAGTCCTGGGGTAATGGCTGGACTTGATGATTTTAAAGGTTTTCTTCCAACCTAAACGATTCTGTGATTCAATAATGACTTACTTTTTTTCCCCAAAGGGAGCCAGCTTGGTCCTGCTTTGAGCCCCTGTGCTGCTCAGGCCACTTCTGCCCTGCTCTTGTATTGGTGGGGTTCAGGGCTTAGCAGGGAGGAAGGCAGTTACCTCAGAAAAACAAGGCACCACCAGGGCGCTGCCTTGTTGAATGTTACAGTCACTGAGAACTTCAGGTTGTCCTTGGGGCTCCCGTCCCAAACAGTAGCTTCATGCTAAAGCAGCTTCAGGAGAAGGCAGTGGTTTTGATCTACCAGGAGACAGCGCTTTGTGCACGCCAGCCAGTTTATTGCAAGATGCTAATCACAGTGTTACATATGCATGGCAGCTTTTGTCCTGACCCAGGAAAGCTTTTTATGAAACACTGCTATCTTGTATTAGAAAAAAAAAAGCACGAAACACCACAGAAATGCATCTGTCTTCAGGGTAGGACATGACTGCTACATGACAGGAAACAGCAGAGCTATTTGCTGACCAAAAAAATGGAAGGCTGGGCAGCAGCGGCATTTGTTAGAGATGCAGACTGAATTTCATTTTGGCTAAATACTCTTCTGCTGACTGAAATCTTGCTAGAGTGGCAGTAGTGCAGATGCCTATCACAGAAGGAGTGATAAGACTAATGCCTAATTAGTGTGTTTTACCTTTCTTTCAAAAATCCCCTACATTTTTTACTATGGGAAGTGACGTGGGTTGGTAACAGTATCAGTGTCATTTTCTTGCTGCAGAAAATGAGGAATAGCTGTACTTTGTGTTGTTTCCCAATTTGTACTTGCTTCTGTGTTACAGAGCGCACAGAGCTGAACCCAAAGGGGCCAGAACTCCCACCTCCAAGGGGAGACACAGGTAATGGCGTTCCAGGCAGAAGCAGCTCAGTCAGAAGGCAATAAAGAAGCCGAGTAGGACCCAGTCAGCATCCCTGGTGAAAGCACAGCACCAGGGCAGGGAGAATATGAAGAAGCAGGAGAACGTTGTTTGTTCTCCTCTTAGACAAGACTTGCTTAGTGATTGTAAATACAGTCTTAAAATGCACAGAGGTTTGAAGAAAACCCATCTGTTATGGTTTGCAATGGGATGAAATAGCCATCAGTTCAGCAGAAAGTGTTACTCTCGTTTACAAAGGAGAGTATTGATTCAGGGGAGGACTGACAATGCTCAGATATGTGCTTCTCCACAGACAGACATACAGATACCATTCTGTGGCAAGTATGACTTTTGTTGTCACATCTTTTGGGGAGGCAGAAAAGGGGGACTGGTTCTTCCCTCACAAAGCACTGCAAGCAGCTGGGTTCAATTCACATGTTACTCCTTCTGGCCCTCCTGAATCCATCATCTGATAACCTCATTATGCTCATCACCAGGTCTTAGGTCTGCCCTCAGCTGGCGCCCTTTCTTAAGCCTTTCCTGTGTTATAGCTTAATTTCCTTTGTAATGTCATTCATGGCACCTATATTCTGACACAAGAAAAAAAGCCCACCCTATCCTTTTCCTCAACAGATTTATAATACTTTCCTTTTTTGAACCTGAATGGCAGATCTGAAAGTTTTTGACATGCAATGACATCAGGTTTTGTGTTTTAGAATAGCCACAGGCATGAGTATGAATTTGAACTACTCCACGTCAAGTGGCTGCTGACTGGCCACAAGCATATTTAAGCTGGAAATCAGAAGTTTCTGTCTGTAACAGCAATCAAATTGTGGAGCACACTTCCTGCCAGAGGGGTGAGAGGGAAAGAATTAGTTTTCAGTAAGCTCTGGAATGAGATGGTCCAACACAAAGCCTGTAAGAGGAAGGCACAGGAAGTGATGACATATGAGTGAAGACCAAATAATATGTCCAGTAATGAGACTGCATAAGGCTCTGGTGAGACCCTGCTCAGGGGCTCTGATTAGCCTGTTGCTACTGCATTGGGGGTCACATCCCTGCAGCCAAAATGAGTGAAGTGGCATTAGAAACTAAAAATCACACAAGTGTGAGTCTTCAGACTTCAGGAGGAGCATTCAGAAGTCATTCCATCTATGTGCATAGAGGCAGGATCAGATACCCTAATGCCACCCTAGCAGGTGTTTGCCTTAACTGCCCTTAACACATGCCAGGCGTGACCTCCTCAGGACCTGTCACAGTGCCCACTGACTGATAGCTGGGAAGGTTTCCCTCCTATGTATAACCTAATTGAGCCTGTTGTATCTTGACCTGCTCTCAAGAGACATGGGGAACAATTAGTCAGCATCTTTCTTACAGTCTTATGTATTTGAGGTTTAGTATCATCTCTTCTTCTGTTTTCTCCCTGCTGGACTCATTCCTCTTCCTTCAACACTATGCATTTTGCACCTCTTATACTGATGTTGCCTTCCTCCAGTCCAAACTTAGACTGAGCCTCTGTAACTTGGGGTATTGAGAAAACAAAAAATTTCCTCCTTTGTCTTACAGGCAGTATGCCTTAGTGATAAAGCCAAGGATGAAATTTGCCCTTTTATGCAATACTTTCACAGTGGCAATTCATGTTCAGTTCATGGTCCTGTAACTTCTCAATCCATTCCCTCAGTGCTGTGGTCTAGTCAGCTGTTCCCCATTTCTTTACTGGTGCATTTATTTTATTATCGTTATTATTTCTTGGGCCCCCAACACAGGAGGGACTTGGAACTGCTTGAGCGAGTCCAGAGGAGAACATGAAGATGCTCCAAGGGCTGGAGCACCTCTCCTTGGGGACAGACTAAGAGAGTTAGGCTTGTTCAGCCTGGAGAAGACAAGGCTGTAGGGAAACCCTATAACAGACTTCCAATATCTATGAGAAATCTGGAGAGGGACTTTTTACAAGAGCATGAAGTGACAGGGAAAGGGGGAACAGTTTTAAACTGGGAGAGATAAGATTCAGATTAGACATTAGGAATAAATTCTTCCCTGTGAGGGTGTTGAGGCACTGGCACAGGTTGCCAGAGAAGTTGTGGCTGCCCCATCCTTGGCAGTGTTCAAGGCCAGGTTGAACGGGGCTTGGAGCAATCTGATCTAGTGGAAGGTGTTCTTGCCCATGGCAGGGGGTTGGAACAAGATGATCTTTAAGGTCCCTTCCAACTCAAACTGCTCTGTGATTCTAAAATTCTAATTTGTCTCCTAGTGTGACTTAATTCTTGCAAGCTCGGCCAGCTTTGTATTTTTCTAAACATACTTTGTTTCGTCATCTAAGTCATTGAGAAAACCAGTTGATAGATCTGGCCAGGCACCCCTGGGACTGATCTCTGTAAGTGCTCCTGGTCTGATGGCAAACTACTGATAACTATTGTCAGAGCACATAACGATGACAAATATCATACAAGATGGTTTTAAGAAGCCATACTACACTTCAGGATAGCCCACATTGCTGGACACACTCTCTCCACTATTCCAGTTACTGTGGCAAAGAAAGTTAACCAGTTTGATGTGGTTTGTTCTTGGCTTTACCTCTATTGGCTCTTTCTTACAACACGATTATCTTTAAGTGATAATAAATTGATTATTTAATAATATTGATTATTTAATAATTTGATAATTTAATACATTGTTTTTTATTAATAAATTGATTTTTTATTTAATAAATTGATTTAATAAATTGATTATTTAATAATATGTCCCATCCTTGAGTAGATGGAGGGGTAATGACTGAGGGCTGAGGAATCAACTTTTTCAAGAAGGTTTAGGGTCAATTGCTGATTTTTATCAGAGCAGTGCTGACTTTGAGGGTAATTTAATAGAACAGACATTAAGTCTTAACTAGTAATTAAGTCTTTACTAGTAAATTAAACAACATCAGGAAATGTTCCCAGAATACAAACTCAATCATCAGAATTAAGTGTCAGCAAACCTGACATGGTTTGGCTTGGTCCCACTAGGACTGTCCCAGACAATTTCCAGGCATGATTTGGGAGTTATTATCAACAGAGGACCATTCCCAGTAGGCTTTTGCATGAGGTCACTGTGTTTCAGAGGTGAAGAGAGTTTAATAATATGGATGTGAGCCATTTGGTGCTGGTTTGCAGTATGTGTCTAGGAGAATGTTTCTGTGCACTCCTGATTTACTGCCTTCCTACCTCTTTTTGCCTTCTCCGTCTACAAGATTCATTGTGCTTTGTAAGCACAAATGAATCAGTCGTGTGACAAGTCTGAGGGGAAGCTGAGGCCAGACATCTCACTTTATAGATGTGAAGGGTGAGGCATTATCTGACCTAATCTCCTCAGCCAGTAAGTAGCTGGGTTAGCACTGAATCCTGGGGCCTGACCTCTTATCCTTGGCTATACCATGGGTCGCAGTCGTTCGTACCCCAAGCATGGCCTTCCCCAGCTTGTCAGGCAATGCCTCATGAACCATGAGACAGGAGAGGGCCTTCTAGGGACCTTCTGAGAACAAGTTTCCCCACTACAGTGGGTATACAGCTCCAGTGCCAGGTCTCCTTTCCACTCCCAGCCCTGCTGCACCAAATGCAGCTGGTCATTGTGATCGTAGAAGGAAGGAAGTCACTGCCCTGTGTCAAAGCCGAAGCCTGTCCTGTCTGCAAGGGAAAGCTGAGGTGAGTGCAGGCAGGGTGAGTCTTCCTTTGTATGCTTGCATCTGTGAAGAGATGGAGGAAAGCATCTTGCTGCTGAGG